CTGAGCTATTAAAGACCCATCCACCTCCGTGGATAATATCAATCTCACCATGCAAGAGTGTGTGGATGCGTTCTTGGGTGCCCGACGAGATATGGTACTGGATGCCCTTAATGGCTCGGACCGGGCAATAAGGATTACTAATGCAGGTGGCTTCCGTGTCTATCATTTGGTTTATGCATTATCAGTCTTTGCTGAGCTATGGACTGGTCTGGAATCGGAACTTATAGGTCGCCAAAGGCCATGCGAAATGATCCGTTTATCAACTGATATGGGCGATGCTCATCGTCTTCTTAGAACGATGTCCACTACACTACCATCTGCAGCTGATGCGCCGACTCGTCAGTTGACCTCGAGGCGGCCATCAAAGTCATGACTGACAATGTATAATACAAATCACATCATCGACTCTGCAATGTACCCAATGATGGTATGAAAGCAATTAATCAAGCGGTCAGAGCTCACAGATATCGCCGAGTACTGAACAGCTGTTTGCTAGGGTTCTTCGTAACTTACCTTTCGTTATTCCTCTTTGGTAGTTGTTGTTGTGTGATTGGTGAGCCCAGACCTGCATCATCCATTAACGGTGCTGTATCGACTAGTTTTTTTAATGGTCTTCACACCTTATGACTACTATCCACGATCAGGGTGTATCATCAACAAGGCCCAGCACCCGAGCGCAGCGGTCGAAAAGGGGTACTGATATTCTCGGTGAGTGCTGGAAATCTCCCATCGGGAGTGTTCTGAGTGGATCCAGATTTGGATACTATTCTTTTGACAGGAAAGTACTTGGGACGACATAGCCGTTAGTCGGATTGGACATCATTACGCCAATCAACCATCAACCAGTTTGACTATTAGATGACTCATGAGCGCTGGTGGATGGTAGCAAGGTAGTATCACTGAGGCGCATCGAATACCATCTTTGAAATGAGACACCACCGTAGATTCATGCAGAGTTTCGGCTGCTCTCCATTGAACCCACTTCTCAGCAGCTGGATTGGAGCTGCATGATGAGCATAAATACAGGAGTCCACCATCAGTATATTCTTCTGCAGTGTATTCCTTGGACCATTTTCATGAGTTCACACGGACGGCTAAAACCGGATTTGGCATTGAAAGTCTTACCCTACGATATGGACCCGCTCATAATGTGATTCACGAATTGGAATTATGGCTGCTAGGGCTATGCAATTGAGAGGCCATGAAAAAAGCCTGACGACTGTGTCAACGATGTCGGCTCACCAGATGAACCCGGATACTGTGCATGCGTGCATCCACCTTGAGCAATGAGTTATTGGTATGCATGTATGCTCTCATGCGCGAGCCGCGCCTCAACGGGTTTACGCCTCCCGTCTACACCGCGCTGCTTGACTAAAGCAGCATCACAGTTGCGACTCCTACAGTCTTTCGCTCCTGGCTTCTGGAATATCTTTGTGCTGAGGCACTCTCTCGTGCGTACGACCGCTTAGTTTTTCGCCACACGAGTACAGTCTATGTGTGTGCGTGCCGCTTCGCTCGGGCGAGCATCGCGATTGGGTCATTATTCTCTTCGGCCGAACTTTTGATTCACATGGCATCGGTTTCAGTTTTTATTACCCTCATTTCGTAATGAATAACTCGGAACTCTCAAATGATTTTGAGTTGTCATTGGAAAGGACTATATTTGAGTCCCGAGACGCTACAATGGAAGCTGTAGTCCCACATATCTGGTCAGGAAATCGAACAGCTATCATCGACTGATTCCTCGCGGCCATCGAGTTCCCCAACGCGCCATCCCATTCTGGGCGACCATCTCGATGCCATGGATGATGCTTCTGCATGGTCTATTCATAGGTGTCCGACTCTTGTACTGAGTTGTGTTAACATCTCATCAGCTGCCTTCCAGAGTAGGCTACTACTCCTTGTCGATGGCCTCACCTTCTTCGCTCCTCAACTCGTCTAATAAACGGTATCGTTCTGGAAGCGATGTGTATCGAGGGGGTGCAGCTATAGCAACGTCATCAAGTGATGAAGGATTAGTGGCACAATGGCAGTGGATGACGGGGCCGGGGGAATGGATACCCTATCATAATGCTGACAATATCATCATAGAGAGAGCATTCACATCACAGAAGGATGTTAACATTGCTGCTGATAGGCTGGTTGACTTCACTTCACTGCAACAGCGTAACACACGTACTGGACGTGTACGTCCTATACGCCGGGTATTGTGCAGGAGACATCCAAGCAGCAGCCACATTCCGTCGGATAGCGAGCCATCATCCAAGTCAGGTAACGGTAGTATGGTAGCTAGTGGGGTCCAACGGTTCGATGGGTCTAGGATATACCTCAATAAACTGGGTGGAGATGGGGGCAGCAATGATCCAAATGAGCTCACCTTCGCGGACATTATTGGAGATAAGACTACAATCAAGGCCGTGTTCCTAAGCAGCTTTGGATGCGATATCGAATGGCTTCTGGAACACTTCGCCTTTGGTACACCGATTGTACTCGTGGATGACTATGATAGGAAGCGTGGTGCAATGGCAGAGATACAGCAACCCTTTGGAGAGGTGTGGTCTCAGATGAAGATCGTACATCCCTATTTCGAGACTGGTGGCCTCTATGATAGTGGTACTATGCATGCTAAGCTTATAATCATAGAACGAGCACAAGCTCTTAGAGTATGCATTAGTAGCAGCAACCTGACTCCTCAAGACTGGGAAGGTGTGAGCCAATGCATTTGGGTTGCTGATTTTAAAGCGGCTAATGATTTCGAGGCACCTGCCAGGAAGAGGGTCAAACCTGATCATACATCCGACTTTGGAGATCAGTTGGCTCGGTTCATCGAGACATTTTTCCGTTCCATTCCAGACTCTTCATCCCTATGGAGCTATTGGGTAAAGGTTTTGACTGGCTCGAGGTTCAATGTGAAGCTCCCTAAGGGAGTAGAACTCATTGCTTCAGCACCTGGCTACTGGAAAGGGAGACGATAGAGATAACTGGGGTCATATGAGGCTAAGAGCACTACTGTCTGATGTCCACTCGGAGGAGATACTATTCCAATGCAGCTCTATTGGCTTCCTACCCGCCAGTTTCTTGGCCGACCTATCCAAGTC